CCTTTTTTTATTTTCTGACTCCAGCTCTTGATACATTTCATTGTAACATTTTGTTCAGCTTTTTTTACTTCATCTCTTTGGTTTGGCTTCTCAATAAGGCAATTTTTTCTAGTGTCTTCTATAGCCATTTTGGTTTTTGCTTTCTCTTCTGCCTTGGAAATGACCTTTTGTTCTCTTCATGAATGATATTCCTGATGGCTTTCTAGAGCTCCTCTGCTCTTCGGTCATTAGTGTTCAGTACCTCAAATCTGTTCTTGGGATGATTTTTTTAGTTCAGGTTGCATAGACTCAAGGTCATACATATCTTGATTCTGTGGACTTGTTTTCACTTTCTTCAGCTTCAATTTGAACATGCACATGAGTAATTGATGGTTTGTTTCACAGTCAGAGCCTGGCCAATTTTGACTGCTGATACTGAGTATCTCTAGTAATTGTTTGTGCAGTCAATTTTGGAGTGCTAAAAAGGGTCAGAATTCTCGATTTCCTCTTCTTACCATGTACAAAGTCAATGCGATTCCTGTGCAGTCCATCTTTTGTGTTTTTGAAAGAGATATTTGCTTTGAATGAAACATTGACTGTACAAAATTAATGCATTTGAATTGCATGTTTGGTCCGTTTTGGACTGCAAAATTTGTAGAAATAGAAACAGAAGGTTTGTAATCTGCTAATGATAAGATTGATCAGTCTCTCCATACTAACAGGTTTAAATTGAGCAGGTTTAAAGGCAGAAACCATAACATATATGCTATGGGCAATATATTGACTGATTCAGAATGCTTTAAAAGAAGATGGAGGGAATATACAAAGTCACTGTACCAAAAAGAACCGATTGGCACTGAAAAATTTCAGAAAGTACTATATGAGCAAGAGCCAGCGGTAATAAAGGAAGTTGCACTGAAGGCATTGACAAAAAATCAGGTCCCAGGAATCCAAGGTATACCAATTGACTGGTTTCAAATAAAAGATAGATCCCTGGATGTGCTCACCAGTCTATGCCAGGAAATTTGGAGGACAGTTGTCTGGCCAATGGATTGGCAAAGTCTATATTCCCGTTCCCAAAAAAGGTGATCCAACTGAATGTGGAAACTATTGAATAATAATAATCACATGCAAGCAAAATACTGCTGACAATCATTAAAAAATGGCTAGAACAGTACATAGATAGGGAACTGCCCCATATTCAAGAAGGATTTAGAAGATGCTGTGGCACCGAGGATACTACTGCTGATGTCAGATGGATCCTGGCTGAAAGTAAAGAATACCAGAAGAATGTCTATTTGTGCTCTATTGACTATGCAAAGACATTTTGACTGTGTGGATTGTAATAAGTTATGGCTGAGAATGGGAATCCCAGAGCTAATTGTGCTCATGCAAAATCTATACCTAGACCGGGAATCTGTTGTGAAAACAGTAAAGGAACATTACATAGTTTAAAATTAAGAAGGGGGTGCACCAACGGCACTCTGGCGGCCTAGTGGTAAGGAGCTGAGCTGCTGACCCAAAGGCTCATGGTTTGAATTTACCAGCTGCTCTGAGAGAAAGAAGGGAATGCATCAGGGTTGTATTCTCTCTATATATTTATTCAATCTGCTGAGCAAATTATTCAAGATGTTGAATTCATGTGGCATCAGAATTGGAAGGAGACTCATTAGTGACCTGCATTATGCAGATGACAGCTCTTGTGGCAGAAGATTAAAGGATACATCCTTCAATATGGATTTCAGCTTAATGTCAAGAAAACAGATTCTTACCAATGGACTGATAGGCAGCATCTTGATAAATAGAGAAAAGAATAAAACTGAACAGATCCACAATTAACACACATGGTACCATTGGTCAGGAAATCAGGAGACATTACACTGGGAAAGTTGGCAGTTAGGGACCTCTTCAAGTTATTGAGGAGTAATGATGTATGTTTGGTGTGTCTGATTCAAGACACAGTCTTTATGATCACACACTATGCATCTGAGAGCTGGACAATCAATAACGATGATAGAAGAATTGAAACCTTTGAGCTGTGGTGTTGGAGAAGAACGCTGAACATTGCATGGACTACCAGAAGAATAAACAAGTATGTCTTAGAAAGGGTTCAGTCAGAGTGCCTTTTGGAGGCAAAGATGATGAGGCTTTGCCTTATATACTTGGGCATGGTGCTAGGAGGGGCTATTACTTGGATAGGGGCATGATGTGTGAAAATGTGGAGGGTTAGAGAAGGAGAGGAAGACCCTCCACCAGGTGAATTGACTTGGTGACTGCCACTATGGGCTCTAATGTGCCAGGAAGTATGAAGATGGCACAGAACAGGGCAGGGTTCAGATCTGTTATTCACAAGGTCGCTATGGGCAGTACTTGATGACATCTAACAACAACAAAGGCAGAAACTGGGAGTCTCACTACCAACAAGAAAACAACAGAGAATGCCTCACCATTCCTTCAGAGCCAGAGATTGCTGGACTAGCCTGACTGGGACCTAGATGAGAGCAGCAACAGTAGTTCCAATGGAGGACCAGAGTGACATGAGACCACTGACCTGGGACTGCTGCTCTATGGAACCAAAGCCAAAGGCCTCTGCCCAAGCTTACTGGAAGACTGAGGAGGCAGGAGGAGGAAGATATGAAGAGGTGTCATAATTGCCAGGGTGGACAGAACTTCATACCACTGACTAAACCTCAAGAGTGAGGGTCAAAGGGCCTAACGGCACACTTGAGAAACTTGTCTTCATTCAAGAATCACATCCTATTTCCAACCTGAATTGTAACTTCCCTAATAAACTCCATAATTATGAGTATAATCTCTGAGCTCTGTGTGGCCATGGCAATAGATTATTGGACACAATAGTAGAGCAGTTAAAACCCTGGGAGGGATGGTTGGTGTTAGAATTGGCAGAAGGTTAAAGAAGTGTGAGGACATGTCTGACCTCCTGAGAATTTGTTTTATGCTATTGACATTGTGGGGATCTCTTAGTGGTCTGGAGTTAAATTGCCAATCCAAAGGTACACAGTTCAAATCTGCTCTGTGGGAGAAATATAAGTAGTCTCCTTCCATACATTAACGGCCTCTGAAAACCCTCTGGAGGGTCAGCTGTTGGTCAGTTCTGACTCAATGGTATATAATAACACAACTGACTTGTAGATGGAGACTGATCATCTTTGTGGAGTTAGTGGATCTCAGATAGAGCTGACCTTCTTTGCAAAAATGTTGTTACATAATATTGAGCAGGAATAATAGCTGACCCTAGGATGGGTTTTCAGAGGTTCAAATTGCACTGGAAGAGATTGCCCATCTTTTTCTCTTAGAGTTGTTAGTAGATTTGAACCACCTGCCTTTGGATTGGCAATATACGCCTTACCTACCAGGCCACCAGATCTCCCTTTTCACGCAAATGGAGAATGTTAAAATGAAATGATTATTTATAAGTAGTAATTGCTTAGCTAAACATTTTCTATTATGTTTACACCATCAAATTTGTAATACATCAGCTTCTGCTGTTGCATTTGTGTACCGACAAGTTGGAACCAACCCATTGCTGACCCTCCAGCAAGTGTCCAAAGACAGAACCTTATGGGAGAAGAATTGCCTATCTTTCTCTCATGGAACAGCTGGTGGATTTAAACCACGTGACCAAGATTGCAGCACAGCTTTTTATTACTATGTCACCATAGCTAGCAAACCCATTTTTCAGTTGCTTCGATATGGATTGCATCTCAACATCAAGAAAACAAAGATTCTCACCACTAGGCCAATTGCAGCATCATGATGAATGATGTTAACAATTTCATCTTTCTTGGATCTTCAGTCTACACTTTTGACACCAGCGGTCAGGAAATCAAAGGATGATGAGTTGCTTTAGGGAAGTCTGCTGTCAAGGATCTCTCCAGAGTGCTAGAGACCAACTATGTCGGTCTAGAGACTCAGGTGCACCTGATGCAGACCATGTTTGCTATGCATCTGGAAGCTAGGGTGGGTGGGTGGGGAAGATGACAGAAGAATCGATGTCTTTTAATTGTGCTGGAGAAGAGTAATGGACACACCACAGTCTTTCAAACAAACAAACGGGCCTGTCCTGGAGAGGGTGAAACCAGTTTGTTCCTTGGAGACAAGGATTTTGAAGCTCTTTCACATACTCTGGGCATGTTTCCAGAAGGGACTGGTTCTTGGAGAGGGGCATCATGCTTGGAAGGAGGGAGGGTAAGCGCAGGAGAGGAAGACCCTGGATGAGATGGATTGACACAGTGACCGTGGCAATGGGATCAAGTGTGTCGGAGATGATGAGGTTGCCTCAGAAAAGAGCTAGATTCAGAGCTATTTTTCATAGGGCTATGATGAATCATAGTTGCCTTGATGGTACATAACAACAGTAATAACCTAATCAAGAAAGGCAACTAGATCACACTGAAATGAATTGAACTTGGCACTCTCAACTGCAAAGGGTTGCTGTGAAGTTAGCAAAACATTCCATAAGAAGCAGCGGTGTCATAATTAGACTCTTAAGTTCTGATGAGAATTCTGCCATTGCTGCAGTTATGGCTCCAGGAAAAGACTCTTGTCCACCTTTACCTAAAATTCCCAGCAGCTGTTCTGATACGAATTCATATAAAGAACCTTATAAGTGAGGATCTAAGATAAGTTTAATGATTTAAGAATTCTGGGATTTTTGCAACACAGATAAGAATAATTTTGTGCTTTGTCTTGGCGCCTATGTGGGCAGTTTATGTCCTTGACATCTGTGTAGCAAGTTAAGTGAGTGAGAACAGCAAATCTGACTTGATTATGCAGCATATATGCAATGCAGTTACCAAGTCTCTGACTAGCCAGAGATTCTTTTAGGCAACAGGCACGCTCAAAGCAAAGAAAATGTCCTGTGCTGCCTCCTCCCTTGAAATTGGGTTGGAATGACTACTGTGGGCAAAATATAGTTGGATCCCTTGGTTTTGATATTGATAATACTGGGCGATTTAACGAATCAATTACTGTCAGGTAAACTTCAAAACCTGGCAAAGCTTTCCTCCTGCAGCTACAGCGGGGCCCAAATGTAGACCCAGCACAATCACCTCCATCCCCTAGAACCATGCTAAAATGATTGTGCTCGACTCAAGATACCCTTTTGACTTTCCTTACCTTTAGGTGTGTTGATATTCATTTGCCACAGTTTTCATTCAAGCAAGGGATAATTCCAAGACGTTATGTTATGCCTTGGAAGGAAAATATGAAATTTAGGACGGTGAATTTGAAGGTATGTTCCTGTAAACATTAATAGTTAAAAGGCTATACTAATTATATATATATATAAAGTATATATGTATATATAAATTGTATATATATAAAGTATATATACACCTACAGATATAAAACTCATATTTTGATGCTCTTTCAAGCAAATGTTAAACAGCAACATATATTCAAGTTATTAAATCATAAACTTAAAATTGATTACTAAAGGCTTTCACAATATATTGTTATCATGTACCACCGAGTTGGAACAGATCCATAGCTGACCTTCCAGAGGGTCTTTAGAAGCAGTAAATTGCACATGAGGAAATTGTCAATCTTTCTCCTAGGTGGCAGGTGGTGGATTCGACCTGTGTCTTTGGGATTGCAGCGCAGCTCCTTACCACTCGGCCACCAGAGCTCCCTTCCACAGTATAGTCACTTGTTTTCCTCCTCATCATGTCCACCTTTCACTGCACGTTAGTACACAGGCTAATCAGAAGCTCCCTCACTAAGCTACCCATTGGCATTGAGTCTGATTCATGGTTGGCCCTTCAGTAGGTTGTCTGAGGCTGTAACTCACATGGGAAAAGACTGCTCGGCTTCTTCCCTTGGAGTCACTGGTGCTTTCAAACCACTGTAGTCTCTACCTTTGGGTTCGTAGCATGTCTCCCCACAGACTGTGCCATCCAAGCTCCCAAAGCAGAAGCAGACAGCATTAATATTAAAACTATAGTACAGAGCATACATTGTTAAAGCTGTACTGCCTGTTTAACTAGAGAGCCATGGGATCAGTGTGGCTAGATTTACAGATACCATTTGTTGTTCCTTCAATGCTCTTGCCCAGTAATCGGGAAAACACTTTCCTAATTCAGAGTTAAATATTTCTTTGGAAAAGGTATATCCTTATTTAAAAGAGAATAGAATATAAATAATCAGATGATGTGTGATTTTAAGTTATGATGCTTGGTAATAAATTGAACTGATTTGCCAGTTTCAAAAGTTAAGAGGTTTATGTTTAAAAAGTTATACAACTGAATAAGAATATACTTTGCTAAATTATGGGCACAGGGAAGAGGTGAGTGAATTAGGAAAGATCCAGTGGGGACCTGAAATGGTGGGGTATGGATTAATGGTGACTGGTTTTATAAAACCCAGTGCATGGGAATGATCCTTATGAAAACACAATGTGAATGAAGAAATGTATAAAACACAATGTATGTGAAAGAAACATAACGTAGATACATTTCATATGCAAACCAATATAAAATAATAAAAATATGTTGTTGTTGATATGTGCCCTCGAGTCACCTGTGACTCATAGTGACGGTATGTACGACAGCTCTGAAGCCTACTCTGTCTCTCAACCCTTTCCAGCATGATGTCCTTCTCCAAGGACCGGTCCCTCCCGGACACATGCCTAAAGTATGTGAGACAGAGCTTCCAAATCCTAGCCTCCAAGGAGAGACTTAGTTTTACCCTCTCCAAGAAAGACCTATTTGTTTTCTTGACAATCCATGGTATGTTCAAGATTCTTCTCCACACCACAACTCAAAGGAATTAATATGTAAATTTTTTAAAATGGAAAAAAGAGAATATGTTTTGACAGTTCACTTCTTCTAGATAAGTAATCTCCTCCTACTTGATTTACTGCCTTAAAAACCTGCTGGAAGGTTGAGTCAGTCCCAACTCAATGGCACACAACAACAACAAGATGGCTAAGATTAAAAACCTCAAAAAATAGCAGAGGGAAGGGGAAACCTGAAAAAAATAACAAATATTGGCCAGGACATGGTACCCTAATCCATTCCTGTGGAGCTCTGGCAGCATAATGGCAAAAAGTTGTACTGCAATCCTGAAGGCCTGTGGTTCGAATCCACCAGCTGCTCCATGGGAGAAGGATGGAGAGTCTCCTCCTATGTGATTAACTGTCTCTGAAAACACTCTGGAGGGTCAGCTTTGG